TCTGATCACAACTTCTATTCTCTTTCCCTTTTTCTGGGACAAACAACCTGAAACAAAGTGAATTCAAACTGCTCCCATGGAGGCTTTTCATGAAAAACAATTTAGAGGTGGGAAAAGAACATTAAAATATAGTTGTTGCCATTCTTTTGTCCATACAGTGTAAATGTTTATTAAATTAAAAATTGAAATATGTGAAGGAAAAAGCTATAGGGAATTTTAAGAATGAAAAACAAAACAAACCTACCTATATGGTACCAAGCTTCCAATAACATTAAGTGCAACAATGTTAATACATAAGTGCAGTTTAAGTCTCTTCTCCCTTATTTTTTGATGTGATTATAAGAAACCTAAGTACAGCCCTCGCTGGTTTGGCTCAGTGGATAGAGCATAGGCCTGGGGACTGAAGGGTCCTGTGTTCAATCCCTAGTAAGGAGTGTGCAGGCGGCAGCTGATCATTGATTCTCTCTCATCATTGATGATTCTATCGCTCTCTCCCTCTTTGAAATCAATAAAAATATATTTTTTAAAAAAACTTAAGTACAACTGAGGAGGTAAGGAGAAATCTTGTTGGCAGAAAAGTGCAACCTATCACAGGCCACTTCACCTCTTCCCAATACAATATAACATTTCTTTGAAAAGAATCTAGTGCATATGTATTACTTAGCATACCACCATAATAGTTATTGTTAACCCAAATAAATATGTATGTCTTTTTATAGGCTTTAATATTCCATTCCTCTATCACTTGAAGAGCTGGATTTATTAAAAGACTAATATAAATTTTAGTTAACCTCCACATTTTGTGGTCATTTATTATCACAGAGCAAAATGTCAGTTGTTACCTCTAAAACTTGTTACCAAAAACTTTAGATTACTTTCGCACAAAAGAAGAAATGGAGTCAATTATTAAAAGCTTAGCTTTGCATGAACTCAATCCAGTTGTACTAAAAGTAGCCAAGGGAGCCATGTATCTTGCTAGCTAGTCTAGCATTAGTCAGTCCAATGTCTACTTGCAAATTTCCCAAAAATGAGCAGTGATTTTTATTTTCAGCATGTTAGCTCAAATAGTTCAATCTTTATTTAGGATTAAGTATCAACTCTATCCCCTACATCCCAAAACTCCTATTAATAGATCTATTATATATCTGTATTTGGAACAATCCTTAACTTTATAAAATCTTAAGCTGTTAACTCAGATTCTAAGAATGAGAATACATCAAAGAACTCAATAGTAGTTGAGCAGAAACTGATTTAAACAAATAAGGTATCTGGTTACAGATTAATTTCTTTTACAAATTTTAAATCCCAACAGCCAATAAAAACATGGTCCTCAAATATAATAAAACCATATTTAGAATATTTTCAACTATACCACTGTAATGTCAAGTGAGTTTCAATGATGAAATGATAAAAGGATGCTCGTTCACAAATATCTAACTTACTTTAACTCCAAGAATAAAACACACATACAACATGTTGCTGGAGACCACACAAAACTGTTCAAATTTAACAACTTTATTGAATTTGCAGAAGCATTCTACAGTAATACATTTTTAAAGTCACACAGCACTTAGTAGGTACATGTATACATGTACATTTCAGAAGACAAATAACAAATAAAATTATTCCCAGAAAGCTGCAAAGATGGGCATGTATAGTCTAAGAATCTGCCTATGAGTACCCAAGGGACCATATTTTGCTTATACTTAATACTATTATTTTCATAAAAGTACAAAGAAGTTCAATTATCAAATGCCTCTACAGTTAGACTCTCATCTTACAATCATAGAAATGAAAACACAAGTAATATACTGTTTTATATAGACACAAAGATACTGGGGTATAGTATGATTTCTTATGACTTAAAAAAAACACACCACCCAACTAACTTAAATTTGCTTTTAGAATTTAGATTAAACCTATGAACTGCAACATACCTTCAAAGTGTTACTTTTAAGTTCCCATCTTTCCAGTATGGAGTTCATCTAATAAACTACAGTGATAGTGAGAATGCACTATCCTAGAGTATCATGGTCTAGAGCAATGTTTCTCAGTGTGGTCAACCAACTGTTTGCCACCAGCCCATGAAGAAATGAGGCACTTACAACAGAGTGTAGGTCTGCACACTGTTTTCTCTATCAATAAAATTTTATCAAGAAAATAAACCCTGTCATTAATCTGAAAAGTGTTTCTACAGTCAAGTTCTGGTGGTGCATGCTTGTCTGTGGATCAGTAACAATCTGAAGACTGGCACACTGAGATGCAATAATCTAGAATATTATGAATGATACTGTAGACATAAAAACAAACGGGAGAAAAATGAAAGAAAAAAATGTAGAAAAGCTGTAGAAAGTACAAAGATATTAAGACCAGCGAAGACTCTATTTATATTCGAGTTAATAGAATTAGTTTTGAAGAGTTCTAAAATCTTATGGAAAGGAGTGAACGATTTGAGATAAAAATGTAATCTACAAAGCTTTAAATTGTATCAGGATTTCTATCTGTGCAACCTTTTTTAAAAGGCAGTTCTATGTAGGCAATTACAGTGGGGCCCTGACTTACGAGTTTAATTCGTTCCGAGACCGAGCTCATTAAAGAGCTCGTTAACTCAAATGACTCTATCAACTCAATGCAAAAAATTGGCCGAGAGACAGTTGGTATCTCAAAAAACTCGTTAGTCGGGACACTCGTAAGTCAAGGCCCCACTGTACTTTTAAACTATAATTTGATGGGTTGAAGCTTGACACTTTGAAATCAGCCCCATCTGGAAACTAAAAAGACCTTAAAAATTTTTTGATTTAAAAGTACTTAAAATTCCTAGAAAATCTGCTAAGTTCCCTATATCAAAGATAAGATGGGCATCTTTATTTTTAACTTGATTAGTGTTTATTTCCACGCTTTTTTATTACTTTGTATACTTCTCCTCCAAATAATGTTCCACCTTTAAAGGGAGTAACAGCCAGCTTATTCTTAGAAGCTGGATTAATTTTGCAATCCTTCAACCAGAGGTAACGGCGACCTAAAGTGGAAGATCCCATGGTATGGGCAGCCATCTTTACTTCATCAAATGCAGCTTCACAAAGAAATGAGGCTGCATCATATGTTTTGCTCAGAATCCCAAGTGCCTGGTGGCTATCACTAGGATCTGAGCTAAGAATTTGTGCAGCCTGACTAATGTCAGCCTGCATAGCCCGAACTACAAAGGCAGTATGGGTTGCAACCTGCAATGCTGATGCTGCAGCTTCATATGCTCTACAAAGTGCTGAGTCCAACTGTTTATCAGTTGAAGCTACCTGAATACCTGCTGGTGGAGTGGTTTCAGAAATAAACTCCAGGATTTCATCATCTACTTTTGGAACTGATAATATCTGTGTTGCCTCTTTTGAAGATATTGGATACTTGCATGCCAATGAAGGCAGCTGCCTGTCAATTTGCTGCCACTCCTCTTCAATTACTTTTAGAATAGATTCGTGGAAAGGAAAAGATAGTTCTGAGGCATCTACTTTATCATGCTGTGATTGCTTAGACGTCTCTATGCCTAAGGTAGCAAGTGAGCGAGAGACAACAGTTGTAGCAAAAGAAGACATGGATTCAGATCCACGTATATTTTGAAATTCCACAAAGGAACCTGAATCCTTTTCCTCTCCTAACCTTTTACTCAGTCTAGGCAATTTTCGTGGAGGAGACAGAGATTCAGTTTCTTGAAAATTAGATGGATCAATTCTCTTCCATATGTTTTCTATATCCAGTGAGGGTGTAGTGTTAGAAGTTCCAGGCAAACTACCAACCCCACTCTGGACCAACAGAGAATCGACATAATCTCTGATTGCCTGAGCAAGTGGTGGAGAAATTACTTGTGATCTCTCAGACTCTTCTAGTGTTTTCCTTTTACTGGACAGAATCGACTGACTTGAACCATGGGACCTCTCAGTACAAAATGGTTGAATTCCACTTTTCTCTCCACAGTAAATATTTCCTATGTCTTTATAGCAAGTAGTGGTGGTTTCTTTACTCAGTGAAGGAGAAGCTGCAGCAGAGACCAACATGGCAGCGAGTTCATGCTGAGAAGATGTCGAAGAACTTTTCTCTAAACGTCTATCATGGCTAGAACTGGAGGAAATAAACAAATTCCCTCCAGAGGCTAACTTGTGCAACTGTTCCCTGCCAGGCAAGGTTGTGGCAATAAGAGGTTCCCTAGGTGGGTCTCCCTTAGAAGAATGCACTTTCTTAGCTGCCTGTAGTTCAGTCCTGCCCAAAGGAGGACGGGGGGAGATTTCAGGAAAAGAAATACCCTGAAAAAATCCACCAGAGGGAGTAGTTGGAAGTTCAGAAAAAGGAACAAAATCCCTAGTGGACTTCACTTTCTTGTGTTCTTTCTTCTTTCCTGTAGAGGCAAAAGAGGCAGGAAGTTTAAGCATTACTTGTGTTTAAGCTGATTTTATTCTTTGCCTCTTTGCTAACATAGTGCTGTTGAAGGAAAAGGCTCTATATTTCATATTCGGAACAAACAATTTAACAAACTATGCCCTGGCAGGCAATGCTTAAGAGATATAAGTAATTTGGGTCAAATTAATTAATCATGAAATTATAAAACAAGTCATATAAATGAATTGAACATTTATAAATATAAACTTGTTCTTATAATAAATTTTATAAGGTCATTTATTTCTTGTACTATTTTCAAAAATATTTAAATATATGGTCAAATTTTCTTAAAATAGTCCTCTAAAATATCTGCTCTGAAGTTGCCTTGAAATCAGATTATCTAGCAAAAACTGTCAATTTAAATGCCTATAAATAGAGAACAGAGAAGACATGCCATATGTAAACACTACTGCTATTTATTAATTACAAGGAATAAAACAGACAAGTGGTAAGTGAGATCTTGGTAGTATAACAGAATAAAGAAAAGTGACAAGATTTAGCATGATATCATTTATATAGATCTTTTTTTTTATTTTTTTTATTTATATAGATCTTTTAAAGTACAAAGTAATACCATGTATTAGATAGATGCATATAAAAAATTTTTTTAAATGGGCTGGAAAGATAAGCATAAAACTAATGTCAGTGATTATTTCTATGTAGATGATACTTGGAAAGGGATAAGTGGGGGAACTGTATTTGTTATATTTTATTCTCTGAGAAAAATGAGATTTGAAGCAAAAAAGACACAGGTACTTAGGTAATTTTAGGTGACAGAAAATTAGACACTTGTACTTTTCTGTTTCTTAGAGTTTTCAACAAAAGCTATTTAAATCAAATTACTTGGAAAATTAATGATACAGTATGAAAAAAATGACATGTCTTGGTAATATCTTATATTTTATCATCTGCATAGTTACTGTATCTTATGAGTCTGAAAAAAAAATCACATATATTTAACATCATTTAAAACTTTACCTTCTTCATTGTCACTGTATCTGTCAGAATCATTACTTCCATTCTGTCTTGTATTTTCTGAAGAAGAAATTGTTGGGAAAGGAGTAGAAGATCTTGAGTCTGTTCCTTGTTCCCTCAGTTTCAACAGCTTTTTCTCATATAGCTTCCTGGTTGTTCCTGTATTAAGGCAAAACTTGCTTTAGTACAGTGGTTCTCAACCTTCTGGCCCTTTAAATACAGTTCTTCATGTTGTGACCCAACCATAAAATTATTTTTGTTGCTACTTCATAACTGTAATGTTGCTACTGTTATGAATCGTAATGTAAATATCTGATATGCAGGATGGTCTTAGGCAACCCCTGTGAAAGGGTAGTTCAACCGCCAAAGGGGTCGTAACCCACAGGTTGAGAACCGCTGCTTTAGTACTTATATTGTCTTATTTAAGATCAGCTCAGACATTATCTTTAGCAACATGAAAATGTTACTTTCATTCTTTCCTTTCTAATTATTTAAGTGCTTAAAAATGAAAAATGAATTCTTTTTTAAATAATTCTTTGTTTTTAACCTTTGCCTGAGGATGTTTTTATAGTTTTAGAGAGAAAGGGGAGGAAGAGGAACATCAATTGGTTGCCTCCCATATGCACCCCTACCTGGGAATAGAACCCTCAACCTTTTGGTGTATGGACTCCAGCCAACTGAGCAGTTCGGCCAGAGCTGTATAATGAATTATTTTATAAAAATCTATTGTCATAGTATTTTAACACAAAATTACAAAGTTTCCTTTATGGCATGGGATACACAGTAGATTGATATAGGTCCTTTTAGATAAACCCGGGACCTTTCAGTCCGCAGGCCGACGCTCTATCCACTGAGCCAAACCGGTTTCGGCACGACTGAGTATTTTTGCCTCTAAAGTTTTAGAATTTGTATATTTTCTCCAGTACTACATAATAGTACTTGCCTTTGTAGAAAATCTATTTTTTATTAAACGATTGTACTCATCTAAATTACTGGGATTAATTTAACAACTTGCCCAACCAGAGTGGCTTAGTGGTTGAGCACTAACCCATGAACCAAGAGGTACTCCAGTTCAATTCCCTGGTCAGGGCACATGCAGGCTTGTTACCCCATTGAGGGTGTGCAGGAGGCTGCCAATGGATGTCTCTCTCTCATTGATGTTTCTATCTATCTATCCCTCTCCCTTCCTCTCTAAGAAAATCAATAAAAACATATTAAACAACAATAACAAAAATAGCCATCCAGTTAGGGGAAAAGTACTATAAATCCATTTTTTAAAAATATATTTTTATTGATTTCAGAGAAGAAGGAAAAGGGAGAGAGAGATAGAAACATCAATGATGAGAGAGAATCATTGATTGGCTGCCTCCTGCTGGGGATCCAGCCCATAACCCAGGCATGTGCCCTTGACTGGAATCAAACCCAGAACCCTTCAGTCCACAGGCCAATGCTCTATCCACTGAGCCAAACCAGCTAGGGCTATAAATCGCTTTTAAAAATGTAAATGTGTTTGGCATAATGTTGGTCAGAAGATACAAAACTTCAGTTATGCAAGATGAATACGTCTGGAAATATATAATTGTGTAAATTTAATGTTGAACCACATTTTATGAAAACTGTGTAACAGAAATTATAACAATTAGATGGCAAAGTAAAATTGAATATAAATAAACTTTTTGTTTAACCCTCATCTGAAGACATGCTTTACACAGAGGAAGGGAGAAAGAGAGAAACATCAATGTGAGAGAGAAACATTGATTCATTGTCCTCTATATTTGCCCCGACCAGATTGAATCTGCAACCCAGGTTTGTTCTCTGACCAGAAATTGAACTGGCAGCCTTTTGGTGCACAGAACAGTGCTCTGAGACACTCTAGATGGGCCAAAATAATTCTCAACACTTCAACGTCAATGACAATTTAAAGCAAAAAAAAAAATTGCTTTTATTTTTTGTTTTAAACTAGCTGTATGTCTTCTCCTGATAAAATGATAATGTATATTTTTAGAAACAACACATATCTCAAAATGTTATATAAGTAGTCTTGAGGTGAACAGCGAGGGAGGGGAAAATGAGAAGATGTTGGTCAGAGGGTATAAAATTTCAGTTATGCAAGATGGGTAAGTTCTGGAAACCTAATGCATAACATGGGTCATAGTTAATGATACTGTATTATATACTTCAAATTTAGTAAGAAGTTAAACCTTAGCCGAAACCGGTTTGGCTCAGTGAATAGAGCATCGGCCTGCGGACTGAAAGGTCACAGGTTCGATTCCAGTCAAGGGCATGTACCTGGGTTGCGGGCACATCTCCAGTAGGAGATGTGCAGGAGGCAGCTGATCGATGTTTCTCTCTCATCGATGTTTCTAACTCTCTATCTCTCTCCCTTCCTCTCTGTGAAAAATCAATAAAATATATTTAAAAAAAAAAAAAGTTAAACCTTAAGTGCTTTCACCACACAAAAGAAAATTATGTGAGGTGATGGATATGTTAATTAGTTTGATTATGGTGATCATTTCACAATGATCATATATATCAAAACATCAAGTTACATACCTTAAATATATATAATTTTGTAAAACTAAACCACCATATAGCTGGGGGAGAAAAAGGAATAGTCTGCATACCAACCAACATGTAGTTTAATATATACTGACTAGAGGCCCAGTGCACAAATTCGTGAATGGATGGGGTCTGGCTGGCCCAGCTCCAATTGGAAAAGGAGACGGTGGGCGATTGGCCAGCAGGCCCAGCCCCCAAATGAAGTGGG